TCACTGACATATTTACTGTTTCATTATTTTTGTTTGCGTTTATATATTGGGGCCCGATACGTTAATTTATTAATTGATTAAAGTGCTTACTCATTTCCTCATTTATTTTGTGTAAAGTAAAGTAAAGTTTGTCCCACTATACGCCATGTAGGCGTTTGGGGTGAGTGGAGGTATAGCTCCTCTCTTCCTTGACCTCGGCACTAGATGGGGGTGAGTGGTAAGCATCACGCCCCGGCCGGCTTTACCCCCGGGAAAGGACCCCGGTACCCACTGGATAGGAGGCTGGGTGGGCCCCAGAGCCGCTCTAAACGCAGAGGCTAGAGGAAAAATCCTCTGCCCCCGTCGGGGATCGAACCACGGTCGTCCAGCCCGTAGCTAGTCACTATACTGACTGAGTTATCCCGGCTCATATTTATTTTGTGTAATTATGTCAATCTACTCGTACAACGTCGTCTTTTGCTTGTGTGTGTATCTAAAATTTGGCAAACATTGTACTTGCCATCTTCCATCTTCAGGGTGAATGTGTAGTGCTACGAATTCTGGAGGCCTTATAAAGACAATGCGCCGGTCACAGTGACCGCGCGGTCTGAGCCGTGGGCCTCGAGCGCTTAGACACTAAGACCGTGGGTTCGAATCCCACTCAAGGATGTTTGTCCGCGTTTTTCTGTGTTGTGCTGTCCTGTGTGCAGGTAGAGGCCTTGCGACGGGCTGATCACTCGTCCAAGGAGTCCTAGCAAATGTCTAAATAGATCAAGAAACCTCCAAAACAGGATGCCCCTATGCTCCATACAGGAGAGAAAAATGTATAAAGATATAGGTAAGGCAGTAGGTGGCATTGTTTGCAGAAACGTAGGATAATATGCAACATTCGACATGGCTGAAGCCCTAATTCCGAAGTTCACACTAAAACTCCAGCTGCAGAAGCCAAAGAACAAGAATCTAGTTGTAGATAACTTCTAATTTACGTGAATACGTTCAGTTTGTTATATATTATTATTATTATTATTATTATTGTTATCATAATCATCATACTTTCGTTAGTTGTGCATGTTATTTGCTGCAAGTAATTTATTTATTTATTTACTTTTCCCCATTTAGTAATCAGTCTACTAATTTATTAATTTTTCATGTATTATGTATTTCCTTATGTAGGCTATTTATCTATTCGGCATCAATTTTAGCATTATTAACTTTTTATTCTCATTTCAGAGACATGTTTTGTAGGCTGCTAATTAGATAATTTGTTTCAGGTAATAAATCAGTGTGGCAGCTGCGCATACACGACATATTCATATTAATTTCTTTAAATTTGCCTGTAATATAATTGTTTAGTTTACACAGAAGAAGAAAAAACATATTGGGCCCAGCATATCTGTTTCTTTAAATAAAATACGTTTAAGAACACGGACATATTTGGATCCATTTAATAATTTGTCCTATATTTATTGTTTCTTTTGCTAGCGGTTTGCCCCGCCTCCTCAGCAGTGCCCGCCCACCAATAGGTTTGCCGGTCAGGTGGCGCCATCTCTTTTCATTTACTACTGCTCTGATAGCTGGAGGCCCGTTTCAGGTTCAACTGCGGAGCCGAGCAAGGCCGGAGGAACTCTTCCTCACTTCCTGGGTCGTTGTCCCAACAGCTGGTCCCATCCCCACACCCCAACACCACGGGAATGGTCGATATTCCCATCGTAAGAGCCCTGAAACCCAGCGTCCTGTCGCAAAGTGAATGAAATGCCGGGCAGGAAGACGGGAAACCTTTGTTTCTATGGCAACCCACGATGGCTGCCGACGACGCTGTAAAAATATACTGCACCTGCACAAATGTACTCAGAGCTATTGAATAGAAAATAGTTATTCATATACCTGTTTGGAAAAAAAAACATATCTGACTTTAGTGCTTCGTCGTCGTACATTAAGAACGTAACACTGCAAACAAGAATCCCTCAACTTCTTAGATTACTATCAAAAGGATAAGTAAGAGAGAGCAAAATGGCCACCATTACTATCAGCATTCTGTATTATCGTCGTCTTATTCCAAAATCAGATCGATTCTCAGCCACTAATCAGAAAATATGACCTCAAATCCCGTAGATATTTTAAAGGTCTCGACAGTTACCAATCCCAAAGCGATTCTGGAGACATATCGAGAGCACTGTTACATGGTTGTAATGTACCTGACGATCGATTACCAAAACATTTCGGTTTTCAGTGACTGCGTGCAATTTATCGATATTCCTTCATGCCAGTATTTTAATTTAATGAACAAATGATACAATTTAGAAACCTAGCATTTTCAGAACTTTTCTTTCATATTCCGTCGAGAAGCAAAGCGACCGTTTTTGCTAAAGTAGCCTACAACATCAAACTTCCGCGATAAACAAATATCCTTCTATTTAACGCCAAACACCACCTCCTACTACTCTCTGACACCCTTGTCTTTCGGCTGAGACCGGAGGTTCGTAGTAGTCCCGCCAACATGTAAGTGTGTAGACGAGGAAGTCTGCCTGCCAGCAAGCATCAAGCAGCAGTGTATCAAGCGCATTGAATTGTCACACAATTTTTTAGTGTTCTGACAACACCTTGGTGGACCCTGAAGACAAAACACCAAAGTACACACAACATCTTTGATTCCTTGAATCCATTTTTCAAAAGTTATGCGAATTAATTAATTTGCTGTGTGTTGCACCATTTTTATTACTCGCTGGGTGCGCAACTTTTATTTGAAGTAGCATAAATGCAAGGCCCACCAATGCCACGTGAGTATGGTAACTGACTACCCACCGTACGTTACTTTCACCACATGCACTGTCGGTAATACTCTATCTCTGCAGAATATAGTTTAAGGAGAGATTGCTTTGTAATAAAGACTAACTTTCATGCAGGGAAGTTAGTTTGTAACAAAAATAAACTAAATTAGGAAAGCGAGATGCGTATAAAAATTCAACCGTGCAACCTGAAAGGAATAAATACACCAATGAGATGTTTGTAACCAACTTCTCAATTCAGGGTTTCCTTCGACAGATGATAGTCGCTCAGCTAGTTCAGAAATTACCTGGACTAGTTGCACGGAAACACAACGCTCATCACCGCACTTACAAAACAGACCATAGCCTGATTTAGTTTCACAACATCACACCGTATTTATCTTTGATCAATTTCACAAATACCCTTACAAGTTTTCTATTTTGTTGAGATTTTCTGGGTTTTTTTTTCGAATTCTAATGCTCGTCCATCTTGATTTAATACAATCACTGCAGCGGTATTAGGATAGCTAATGAACCATTCAAAAATGTGACAAAATTCATGCACTTGGGGACGACACTATCAAGTCAGAATGACTACCGGTACTAAAAATTATGTGGAAGCTTTGTGTTATTTATTCCAGGTGCTGACAGTTGCATTGCTATTTAAATAATTGCAATTTCTACCCTTACGATACTCTCGGCTTCGTAGTTTGAACACCTACTGGAGTGATATGTTCCCCTTGTAACTAGGCAGCTGTACTTTACCACGTCAGGGTGACACAACAAGTAGAACGGTAGATTGTGTTCGCTCATCTAATATATATGACTCACCAAGCAGCACACACCTCTCTGTTCGAGCTAATCGCCTAGTTGGCTAAAGTCGATTTACCTTATGTTTTCTGATTTCGTATTGGCAGTACCGAGCCAGCTGCAGCATTATGCATGTCCACAGCTGTTGGTTGGGAACAGTATCAACTCAAAATCTTTAACATGGAAGGATCCGGCCGAGATTAAGACTGGGACCTCCAGAATATAAGTATGACGCGTTATTGTTGAACTTGCTTGCCTACTCTGTCCCACCTTACCTGACGCAAGGCTCCAATCATGTTAATAAAGTATTTCTCTCCGAGCTCCGACCACGGAAGCCAAGATTTGCAAGGTATTCATTCATTCATTCACTTAATTGTTCATTTCGTTACTGCCAGACTGTTCTTCCGTGGAATGCACCAAGTAATGCCATACAAAACTACGTTCATATTCATTCTTTTTACGATTCAACGCAGTACCTCCTGCTCTCTCTTTATGCGTATAATCGCGAAAATATCTCAAAATACGCCACAACAAATTCCTCCCATACTATTTCGAAATCACCATTCGTAATCGTACCGCTATTATTTTCTCTTTCGGCGTGTAAGTTAAAATCTCATCAAGAGGAAATGAACAATTTTGCAATACAGTGAGTATGTACCTGAGCCTTTTTAGCATGAATCCGCATGAAAACAGCTATTATGGCGGCAAACTCATCTCAAAATTCATGTTTTGTTTATGCCTATTGGGACCAACACAGCCAATTATAATAACGCTATGGTAATTGAACCCGAAGATTCAATATCGCTAATATCAAGTCGGTCACCGGACACGAAACTGAGCTACTTCCATCATCTTGCAGTTCTCACCTCTTTCCGTAAGATCGATATTTTAACCCCACCTTCTTCTAGGGCCTCCAAGTTGACGTTTCCCAATGGGTTTCCTCCATCAAAATTATGCATACATTCTTCGTTTCATTTCCATAGCAAAGTACTTAGCCCACCACAACCTCCTATATCTCACCATCATAATAATACGTAACCTGTTCAGTCACGGATCGTTACGCAGTGTCCTACATCGCGCACTTTATCTTTCTTAGGTGCACACATTTTCCCACAGTTTCCAAACACCTGCAATTCCTGTATTTCCGTCATATCAACAGACGGTTCAAGCGGGCGCGCTTACCCTCACAAATACATACGAAACAAGTCGTAAATTTTTTCCTGAACCAATGTGTTGCTGAATTCGGAATGTGTTTCTTTTATTCGAAGAAAACAGATCCTCCTCGATTTAATCACCCTAACAATATTAGGTGTGGGTGGAGACATGAACAACATGCACAGACTAGTTATTACTAGTTGGTTAGGATTCCTAAGAACGAACACATCCAAGCAACAGGCCATGTTTTCCTCGGGAATTAAGAACCATCTAAACATTAAGCCTACTCACCAATAGAATTCTTCTTTGGGGCTATATGGATGCATCAAAACCAATTAACACGAGTTTCTTCACCACTGTTTGTTTATAACGCACTTCGGAGCACGCACTCGTCGTCCTTTTCTGCTCGTTCAGTTTGAGCTGTCGGTCGCTTTTCCTTTGCTTCCTTCGAATCCCTGTGTATCAGGGGAATATGACGACAAAGAACGTAGCAGCAAGCATGGAGAGCCAACTTAAATATTTCTCAAATGCATGTCCGTAGAGGAAATCACGCAGTTATATTATCTGTGCCCAGCAGTACTGCATCCTCTCCCAGAATTCGATTGTATGTAGTCTGCTATTCATATTACATGTCATTTCTATTCACAGATTAACAGAGACGAAATGATTGAAAATTTTGTTTGTAATTTTCTAACCATGAAACATATTTTAAATATTTTGTCATCTAACCCACAAAAGTAATGCTACATTAGGAATTATATGGGTTCCTTATATTGAAGCCCATCAAACAATATAAAACAATCCATAATGAAGAAATATTTTAATTCTGAGAGCGTGCATGATCAGAAATACGTAAAATAAGTACAAGTTAAGCAATTTATATTTAGTTCATAACTACTTCTTACAGATTACCTTTCAAGTAATTTAGTGGAGACATCTGACATTACTATCGGCTCATGTCATTGGACCTTACATTGCTATCGTTTCTAATACTCTTATAATTATCAATTGTCACACTAATCTGAGGCAGATATGAAAGTAAAACATTCTACTTAAAATGCTGTTGGTTTTCTTCAGGAATATACTTTATTAATTGAATGTATACAACCTGTATAAGAGGCAAAATCTTACCTGACCCAGTTCAATGGTTATGTGGCATAAGCCAATAAAGCACATTACAATGTGCTGTCTGTATCTATTACCAGACTCCTACACCAACCCAACTTCATATTTAAAGAACCCATGAGCAGTGTTGGATAAGTAACCATAACTGCTTGCATATTTCATAAAATAAGTAGCTCATATTACAGACACTGCTCTGGTTCAGGCAGAATTTCTCCATATAGAAACATTTATCCTTCCTACTGCTTTCTGAAAATGAGAGTGAGAATAAGTGGGAGAAAAATTATAGCATGCTAACCACCAGAATCCGTTTTTGATGTTTGGAACGTATATGAGCCAACAGGGAACATTTTCAGCATGTCCTGTAATGTAAGCAGGTAAGCTTCACTCTATACAGTTGCAGTAGCACAAAATGCTGTGCATGGGAATATAAAAGACTTCACAACATGCTTCACACAAGATGTATCAGCTGCTAGGTGAAGCAATAAACTTCCCATTTCTTGAAGCAGGAAGTAAGGAATGTGGGTGTGCAGCAGCAGTAATATGGATAATTATTGGACTGTCAGTGAAAAACAGTCCTTGGCTGAATACAGCAATCTCGGCCACACTGTTCTTTCATTTTCTGTTACAGTAAACCATAATTACAGCTGCTGGAAATGAGTAGAACAAAGTGACTACAATCATTTATTGCCCATAAGAAACTGATGGTTGTAAAAGAATTTTAATTACTAATCAAGAAAACTGTAATAGCACAGACATCTTGCAGTTGGAGAGTCAATATGTTCACTTATACACTTACTGCAGAAATAATTAAACAATTGTGCCTATTGTTTATCAACTCTGAGCAATAAAACAAAGTAAATTACTACTTCTTTACTGAAAACACTGTACTATATTTTATCAGCTTTTTCAAATTTACACATAAGGAACAGATATGAAATATTTATATATAATTAATGTGTTAGCCTAATATTTTTTCATTCTGAACCACTCTTGGAATATAATTTTCTTTAACTTGACTCATAATTTCAATGTGTACCTCAAAAAAGTATAACAGCCAAAATATTCTGCTTTTGATATATACACAGCACTTGCTACCACATAACAGGATACTGCTGAATTGTTTAATAATGAAAATCTTGAAGATTTCTGTCTTCTGGGTTGTTGCGCTGTGACCTCTGAAACATTGGTTAACATCGACCAGACTACACAGCGCAACAACCCAGAAGACAGAAATCTTCATACTCACCGCTGTGAAAACCTCAAATCTTACAATGATAATCTTCACTGCGTTACTAACATGGGGTTGGCAGACTGCTGGCTTCTTAAGCTAATGGGTTATGAATTCTGGAATTTGTGCGATACATGTATTACGTACGACCCAGTTACTGCACCTACGTGTAACTTCCTTGTTTTCATAAACCTAGATGAACACCAATTCTTGATACTGTAGTCATATCAGGACATTTTTATGGTTGTTGCAATACTATCTGCTTTGCTTCTTGAAAGAGAAAAATAATACTTAAAAAGAAAAACACACATTGGATAGTGGTTACTAGCAATAACATAAAGAGTACTTGATATTTTAAAATGAACAAAAGAAATATATTACACAGACAATGCATACTACCATTTGAAACATAACAACTCCACATTTTAGCCATAACATTCTTGTTGAGAATGCACATCCATACAAGCACAATGCATCCTCTTTAAGAAGTTTCTATAACAGATGCAGAGAATCTCCATCACACCACACTGACTACATTTTTGTGTCAAAGCTGTCTGACAAAGTGATTAGAAGTCGAGCTACTTGGT